AAGGGGGGGAAAGAGAAGGAAGGGGGGGGAAGAGAAGGAAGGGGGGGGAAGAGAAGGAAGGGGGGGAAAGAGAAGGAGGGGAGATGTTTGGGAGAGGAGAAATCTGCACTGATCTGGGCTTGCACTGAACTCAGTTGCCAAACTTGCACAGAGGAGGCCCCATAGCATGCAGGGCCACATGTCAGTCCCTTCCCACCCACCAGCAGCACTGGAGCCTGCCCAGACTGGGCAGACAGATACCCCTTCCCCAGAGAGCAGCCCTGATCTGTCATGCTAGATGTGTAGGTGTAGGTTCAATAGCATCAGCAGCAGAATAACGAGTGGTAATTTTTGTCTAGCAAAGTAGCTAATCAGAGCCTTTTCCAATTCACATCATTGCAGACAACTGACAACACTTTGGGAAGACTGGGGTAGTCTTAAAATATTGCAAGAGATTTAGTAGTTAAACTGACAGTAGGATGACAGGTAGTTTTCTGTACACAGCACACAATACTTTTCCAAAAGAAAGGACACTGTCAGCCAAAACCTGTGGTCATTTTTGAACACGGTTCCTCTGACTTCAGTGGAAATTACACTTTAGAAATGACTTTTAAATCTTGGCTCTTACTTTGTATCTACTTAAGTATTATCTGCTTTTGCACCTGGAGAATAAACAACACATACCATCCTGTAAGTCAAGTCGTGGAATTTTTCCAACCAACTTATTAGCACAATGTCTCAATAAATCAAAGGGAAGAACCTGTCATGGAGTAACAAGTATAACACAAGAAAAAAGAAATAAGGCTGTAAAATGCAATAACAAAGCGCCTTTAAATTGCTATACATTAATGAGCTGTGGGATTCTGGGAAAAAGCTGAAATCAGTCCAAAGAGACAGTTTTCTTTCAAATCTTGCTGTAGCCATCATTCTGCAAATATCATTTCCTGCAATATCTTGAAAGGAAGAACAGCAGCACAGAAAGGCCATAGACGTAAAAACATGATAAGAGATGAGAAGAAAAACAACAAATCAGAGTTGCTCATTAAAAAAGAATTATATTCATTACTTGCCTCCTCCTTTTTTTTTTCAACCTCTTCTTTCTTTCTCCATCAGTTCAATATGGACTAATACAATCCATCTCTAAAAGCGTTGCTAGAATTTTCACAGCATGCAGAAATCATCTGTGTTTCTGAGCAAGTGAAAGAGTAGAAATGTTTATAGTGATTGTTAATGTTCAGCATCTTGAAAGGTGCTCAAGGAACTTGCTGTGTTCTACTGATCCATCGACTCCAGTTGTCAGCTCTCCAGTAGTGCCACCAGCTGACTCTTCTCAGACAGGTCAAACCGAGTAATAATAACATGGAAATAACATTTATGGAGGGTGAATAAAGTTCTCCACAGGAAGATTGCCCAACAACATCCTGTTTTGTTTTGAAAAGCAGATTTTAAACAATATTAAATTTTCTAGAGTATTTAAAAGTAAACTACAAAAAAGTTTGCTACCCTAAAGAAATGAAAGATCGCCCAGGTGTTCTTTATTTTAATAATTTTCTTCTTCCCCTTGCCAGTCTCTCTGTATTGTTAGAAACAGATCAAAGCTATCTCTGTTGTCCGTTTTGACTGCATACAGTATTTTGCATCATGCAAAGAGATCTGCATGGTTTATTTAAGACTCTATAAAGGTGATCATACTGCGAGATAGCCAGAGCTTTCAATTGCACCCAAAGTGTATGAGAAGCTCTCTGTTAAGAAATTCTTTCCAGTATCCAACCTGACCCTCCTCCAGCACAACTTAAGGTCATTCCCCTTTGTCCTATTGCTGTTACCTGAGAGAAGAAGCCAATCCCCAGCTCGCCACGGACTCCTTCCTGGTAGTTGTAGAGAGCGATAATGTCTCCCACAAGCCTCCCCATCTCCAGACCAAATGATCCCAGCTCCCTCAGCCTCTCCTCATACATTTTGTGCTCTCAGTCTAGTGATCCAGCCTGCCCAGATCCTTCTGTAGGGCCTTCCTACCCTCAGGCAGATTGACAGTTTGGTGTCATCTGCAAATTTACTGAGGGTGCACTCATCCAGGTCATTAATAAAGATATTGAACAGGACAGACTCCAATATTGACCCATAGGAAACACCACCTGTGACAACTTGCCAGTTGGATTTATCTCCACTCACCACCACAGCTGGTTCCTTACCCAGCAAAAAGAGTACCTGTCCAAGCCATGGGCTGCCAGCTTCTTAAGGAGAATACTGTGGGAGACAGTGTTAAAGGCTTTGCTGAACTCTAGGTAGACTTATATGAGCAGCCTTTCCCTCATGCACCAAATGGGTCAATCATAGAAGATCAGGTTGCTCAAGCAAGATCTTCCTTTCATGAGCCCATGCTGGCTCTACCTGATCCCCCAGTTGTCCCACACATGCCATGTGATCACACTTTCTGTCTTCCCAGACGTTTCTGTCCTGGGGTTCAATGATAAGTCACTGCAGTTCTACAGCTCTGCTCCATGGCAAGCACTTAGTTGGATATTTTTCTTTTTTTCTGGGCTCTGATGTTTTATTCCCTCTTTCCTTGTAGCCTTCCTCATGGTATACCTCTCAAGTGGAAGATCAGACAGTGCTTAACTCTTTGATTTAAAAATTGTTGTCATACAGAAAAATGTGCATTCTATCCATGTCCTTTAGGTGACACCAGCAAATGGTGACGTGGATCCACAGAAACTTCTGAGGGACAAGTCCTGTCACTTCACCAAAAATGATCAGTCTGTTCCTACACTCAGACATGCTGTGTGCATAACCCTGGGTCAGGACAAAAAGAAAGCAAGAGGCGTTTAAAATGATATAGCACAGCTGGAATATTTAGAGATGAGGGAGGTGATAAGACCTGGATTTAGAGAAGCATTCAAATTGAGGCTTGGCTATCTGAGGCCCTTATCAAACTACGGAGTTTCATCCAGATAAGGGCTGTTAAACAGGCTTCTTGTTGTCTCATCGCTGCATTAACAGCTCTGCAATGCATTCAGATCTGGTTCAAAGTGAACCTAATTTATAAATCTAATTCATAGTGTAATCATCCTTCAATCCAACAGTGATCCTGAAACAAGCTATCTGTAATGAACTCTCTATATACTTATCAGGTGTTTTGTGCTGCCATTGAAACGCTGAAGTCCCAAAGTGCCTTGTGTTTATATCGTCTATTACAATTTATGCATGTTTTATTCCTTTTATTCCTTTGGCCCACAGATACTTCTTATGTGAAGCCTCTGCGTACTAACAACCAGCAAAAATTAATACAAATATGTTTATCAGCCAGTGACAGAATGCCTCTATATTGGTCACCATTTTACTGCCGCAGCCAGGGTTAAGTGAAGAGCCTGGCACAGTGCAAAACCAAAGCCGTGACAAAGCTGGGAGCAGAGCCCAGCTCCTCTTGATACCATTCCAGTCTTGACTTTGGCCTGTTCAGATGTTTTATGAAGGGTCACTTCCCTCCTTTCCTTGTTTGTAGCACAAAAAGCCCTCAGCCCTGTAGCTGTTCCTGCCCAGCTGAAGAGTCCTTTTAGTTCTTCCTGTGCAGCTGAACAGAGCTAGAGTCAGAGAAACTGATTGCAATAATGGTGACAAAGAGGACAGATACTGGAGTGCAGATGGAGGGCAACAAGTAGGCTCCCAACTATAAAGGAACACTTGTTAACAGATCGCTTTCTCAGTGGGTCTGCATGGAAGAGCTCAAGCTGCGAATGAAATCATCATGCAAGGCATAGACAGAAGATTCTGTGTTTTCATATGCCTGGGTTTTTTTTTGTTTCTTTTTTCTTTTTTTTGCTACCTCAGCCCTCTGAGATTGACTGAAAGCATTGGAAAGTTAAGTCTTTGTATCAAACTTAGCTAATAGAAGAGTACAGTTAATCTTAAAGCCAGAAAAGTGTTTTAACTGTTGTGTATCTGGGAGACACCAAAGAACATCTTTGCATACTTCTCCATCGGACTGAAGAGGCACCTCTGCTTATTTTGTTCCTGTCTGCATTACTGCAGGTCACTCTAACATTACTGGCAAAAGCAGTCCTTAACTGATGGGGTCATTCTATACAAACACTCCTCCACAGGCTAGACAAACCCACGGTACAACATACAGTCTTGTCTAAAGGAACATATTATTTATTTTGTAGCTCTTAGATGGGATTTATTTACAACAGGTCTTAGAACACAGCTCACACGCAGAAGTTAAGCTTTGGCAGTACTGCCATCAGATCACTACCATGTTTGCAACAACATTTCTATGTCATAGAAAATGAAAGAAGAGTGACGTTAAAACAACCATTTTATCTCTGGGTATAAGGCTCACAGAACGGATTTGCAGGTGGCCATAAAGCACAGTCAAGGTGTGCCCCCAGCACACCCTGCTGTGTGGGAACACAAGTGGTGGTGAATGTTGGGACACACGCGCAGTGTCACATCGCAGTACCTGGCCCCCAAGCAGGCTTGCATGGCTTAGTGGTCCCATTCCTCTTCTCTTTCACCGATTCCTTCTTCCTCCTCTGGGAATGCTGAATCACTCTGACTCTTCAGATGCTTTATCCCTGAAAATAGGACAGTTAAAATTTGTGTTAGTTCGTATCAGACATATTTTTTTCCATGAAGGAACAAACAAATAAATAGATAAATAAATGGAAATATTTTTACTGCCCATACTGGCCCCCTTTCCCAAAAAACTCTTCATTCAAAGAGTACTGTGATATATTTCCAACAGAAATATTCTCTTCCTTGAATATGGGCCCTTTGGAAATTTATCATACTTTGTAGGAACAGAACAGCTTCTTTTCTCTTAGAGATCAGATTAGTATTGCCACTATAAAGCAAGGTTTGAGTTTTAAAGGCTGAGAGAGTAGATGTAGGAATCATTCTGCCTGAGCCTTTTCCTGAGGTTGACATGCTGAAGGTCCTTGTTCACTCCAAAATATGGGAAGATTTTTCCAAATTCATCACTTGGAGAATTTTCAGTTATTCGAGTTTAATGAAGTTACAAGCAGGTGAAAGCAGAATCTCATAGAAGTTCTAACAAGGGGAGCCAAACTCGGCTCACTGCTGGCCTCCGAGCTCCCTCTCTTTCAAACGCATACAAGCAGCACTCAGTTCCCTGGGAAACAGTTGTTCAGATGTAAAACATGCAAATAAATTAATGCTTCCTAGCACAGTACGTGTTAAGTGCCCCCCACGATAATCAACACATATCCAATTAAGTAACTGTGATGATAAGTGAAGAAACACTTCGAGTGCTCAGCTACCACCATGCTGGTCTCTTTAGCAATACCCTTCAGTAAAACAAATAATGTAATATGATTTCATTTAACTAAAGGTTAAAAGGACATTCATTACAAAATGATACTATGTATGTATGGCAAATTCATCTCCTTTTGTTTATCACTGTACCGGTGCATTATTCAGTATTTCAGATCATAGAATCAAAGAATTGCTCAGGTTGGAAAAGTCCTTAAAGATCATCGAGTCCAACCACAATCTAACCAAACTACCCTAACTCCAACAACACAACATGCTAAATAATGTCCCTGAGCATCACATCCAAATGGTTTTTAAACACATTCAGAGATGGTGACTCAACCAGCTCCCTGGGGAGCCTTATTCCAGTGCTTAACAGAAGGGATCACTAGGAATCACGGAGCATTCTGAAGATGAAATTCTCACTCACCAGGCCACTTTCACTGTTAGTTAGTTGTTCTTCATAATCTCCTTTCTATGTCCTGCCCTTCCCATTGCAATCACTGAATACCATACATCTTTGGGATGTACAGACTTGCAGCACTTCCTACACCGGCCAATGCATGCAGAAGACTCACAAAGCTGCCATTCACAAACCTCAAAAATGTTGGGTGGAGGTTGCCAGAATTATTTGATCTTGCAAGCATTGTTATGAAATAAGATGGCTATGCAATGAAGGAAGTTGTTATGAATTGACATACAGGCCATGAAACTCCTGTCAATACTGCATTCTAAGCCAGCAGCTGAGAAGTTAGATCTGTTCATATCCAGCATCTTTGTCTAGCAATATCTGTTTGCTAAAGGGTTATATTCTGGTTGGAGATTGAGTAAAAACTTATTACTCAGGTCACTCCAAATGTTCTTACTACTGTTGCTATGGTGGTGTTGGTTTAATAAAAAGGGAAATATTTCTTTTTCATCTTTTCACTCTTCTTGCACATCGTGCTATAAAACAGAGTTTATACCCCTCTTTCCCTAAACAGTAATCAAGAGGCACCACATCAGTGTTCTCTGGGGTTTGTCCCTCTTCATTGATGAAGCAAGGCATTAAGGATGAACAATAAATGTAGAAAAATTTTACTCATTAAAACAAATAAACAACAAACAGAAAAAAAGAAAAAAGAAAAAAAAAAACAACAAAACACAGGAACCCAAAGCCAGGATATTTTAGAAGGCACTGCTTGTACATCCAGAAGATTTGAGTTCAAAGAATCAAGTCACTCATTTTGCACAAACCACTTTCCAGTAAACTTTACAGTATTAATAACTGCAAACAGGGAGAATTGCAGATGCATACCCACAAATGAGTCCCCCTTCTCACCAATGCCCCTTACTGCAGGCAGTGGTTAATCTTGAACCTGCGGGCACATTGCCCATAAGGTCTCTCACTGTCCAATCCCCAGCCCAGGTGCTTGTCCCTGCTCTCCTGTGGGGGTGGCTTGTGGGGTCTAAGAGGCCTCCCTGCTGGTCCCCAGCCCTGCTCCAACTGGGACTCTGCTCTTTTGAGAACAAAGCCTTTCCAGCACTGCTGCTGCTCACTGCCCCCAGACACGGCTTCACCTTCTCACTACACACTCACAACATCATGCTCACAGGTTGCTCAAAATCATTGTATTTTGCTTTAAAACAAAGCCTGTCTAAACACTGACATTTGTTTTTTTCTCCCTTTTCTCCCCCACTCCTTTATGTTTCTGAAGCCAGCACTTCAGAATTGCTTTTCCTCAAAGGGTTCATATTTCACTGTAGGTAATTTAATCCAATTAATGTTGATGAAGAAACCCTTAATGCCAAGCCATATTCAGCAGACGTGCACTAATACACTTTGAACTGTTAATTCTTTTTAGATGAAGTCACTGCCTCGAAGCATATTTCTAGATTATTTATAAATTATGAGTGCGAATGGGACAATTTCCTGGCATTTTTGCAGTCACATAATAACATCTATGCTGTTTAATCAACAGCTTGCTTTTTGTTTCCATCCATCTGACCAAAGCATCAGATTAAAAGGCTAACACATGAAACAACCAAGTGCTCCTGAATTAAATTTCTCCTTAAAACAAAAACAAAACAAACAAACAAAAAAGAGGTAATTAAGGTAGTTCCCCATCTCTTGTAATTAAGACAGTTCTACTTCCTATTTAACTCTTCTGCCTTTACTCTGCTTCATTGCCCAAGGAACACTGTTGACATTTATGAAACTTCGGGTTGAAGTCAGCTTGACAATCTGAATTCCCAGCAGTTTGGAGAGTTATTTAATTTTATGATTTAGAACTTATCCTCTCCCTATTGAAAACCGATATCCAAATTTTCAAAAAAGAGTGGAAGCTGAAGCTGAGCCACAGACAAAGCAGGCTAACTTTCAGACTTTCAGTACTTAGATCACTTTGAAATTATCAAGCAAATAAACCTGGACAAAGAGGATGATAGCCAAATGAAAATGTCTGCTTTGTGCTAATCCTAAATGCAATATAATCTAGTTCCTTCAGCAAAAATGGGAATATCAAAACAAAAATCATGTATTCAAGCCCCTAGATTGGGAGAAATGTCCTTTCATGGAACATATTGTTCTGAATTTACCAATCAGTCCAAAATATTTTAACTTCACTAAAACTCTTTTGTCCTATTTTTGTTTTCAATTGAGACAAATTTTTGAAATAATAATTTAAAAACTTACAGCACAATAACAACAAAAAAATAAATTTCATGAAGAAAAAGCCTCCACCACACATCTGGGTCTTACTCACAGTACAGGTAAGCAGGCTCCAGTTGGAGGCAGCCATGTAGAGCCCAGGAGTGCTGGCAGGGCTCTGGGAGTAGCCTCCTCCCAGCACAGGCATGGTCTCCACTGCTGCAGGAAAACAAGCAGCTGTACCAGAAGTCCACCTTGGGAAAGCAGGCACTCTGTGAGTGAGCTCTATTACCCAAAAGATGATGTATACAACTGGTGAAAATGAAGACAAGATAAAACTAAGGAATATAGGGAAATTAAGCACTCAATGCCTGTCTCTACAGGAGCAACAAGCCAGCCTCTTTGGCAGCTCTGGCACCCTTACCCGATTGCATGTCCCCCTGCAGACTCTCTTACAGGTAGTCTCAAAGCCACCAATGGCACAAAGAAAGTCCAACAGTAACCTGTGAAATTACAGCAACAAAACATACAGACCCAGCCCTTGACAAGTCCCACAAGTGAACACAGCCAGGCCTATTGGCATTGCAGGGCTTCGTCTTGCTCTTCCAGGTCTCAGTGGGACATTCTCTTCTTTTTTTTCAGGAAAAGAAAGATCAGCTTTTATGATTTATCTTATCTTCAGTTATAGAGAAGAAACAATAGCTTATTTACAATGATTGTATGTACAATTCTATAAATAAAAGTTTAGTCTGATTTTAAAGTGAGAGAAATGAGAAGAAGTGACACACAGACAGGTATTCTCAGACTCCTGTTTAGATTATCCAAAGAAAAGTAAAGCCAGGCTGTGGCTGTTGCTGTCTTAGTGTGATGGAGTCTTTGAAGGCCAGCACACATGGTGGGTCTTTAGAGTTCAGGATAAGAATTTGAAGGACAAATGTAACAGTTTAAACTAAGCTGACATTTTAGCAAGCTGTAAATCAGAAAAACAACGTGTGCTATGTTATTTTATATCTTAGCTCAGACCAAGGAGAAGAAAAAGTTATCATGTGTTTAATGTGTTTATGAGACCAAGATACTATTCAGTCCCCATTTATATTTACTTTTTTTTTTCTTTTTTTTTTTTTTTTTTTTTTCCTCAATAACATGGATCTTTTTCAAAAACACAGATAACCAAATGAAAACAAATCATCTAAAGTACTGGCAAATCTAACTGGTTTATGTAGGTCACACCTGGAGTAGATCAGATCATCAGCATATCCAGCAGGTCACCACGGCCTCATAAATATTTGTGAATGACCTTTCCGATACCGAGAAATGAAGATTGCCTCATTTTCTAAACGCATGATGGCTGTTACTAACTCATCTCTTAGCTCCAGATATACAATATTTAATTCCCATGGTGAGCCTCTTAAATGACAAACTTGGGGACTTGTGCTGCTTTCTCTTCAGTCAAAAGACCCAGTGTTACACTGGCACAATGAAGACTGTATGAGAACAGCAAATTCATGTAGCAAAATTCCAGCTGTTTTCCATTTTATTCTCTCACACTGCACTTTCTACTTCAGTTTCCTCTCCCAGAAGCTGCCTAAAGCAGCTCTGACTCCTTCACACCAGCATGAGGGATCTGCTTCAGCTCAGCAATGCTTGGTCAATACCACACAGGCTGGCTGGAAC